CAGGAATCGAAAGCAGGAATTTTTTGTTGCAAACGCTGCAAAACGCTCCACCAGGTAGCTTGTTAAAGAAATACTGCCTACAATAAAAAAAAAAATTCATGGTTGGATGTTTTAGTGAGAATGGAGGCATAACTACAAAAGCAAATCAAAAAAACAGATTATACTCTGTCAATGGACCCAGACACAAATAAATGCTTGTGGTCAGATGAAGCAAAAATCTAAGTGACACTTTTGGGAGGAAAGTAATAACAAAATGTACAGGCCTTAGAACACAGTGCCAGCTGTAAAGTGGAGGGGTGTCAACATCATGTCTGTGTGTTTTACTTAAGAAAGCCTTGGTGGCTTTAGTGGAACAGACTAGATGTTATCAATATGAATATGTTTAAATATTACTTAAAAGAGTATAAATAATAATGACACCTACTGTTGAAAACCAGAACAACACAAAAAAAAAAAAACATAAAGCTGTTATTTCCATCCTGGGTAACAAATGAGAGTGATTTAGTTTAAGTTTGCATTTCATTTCTTACTTATTGCTCTTTCAAATCCTGGAAAGAGTTAGATCTCCCAAGTCAAAATTAATCTAAGCATACAGAAAAATGTGTTCGAAAGTGAAGAAAACTTAACCTGTAATGGACTGTTTATCAAGACAGCCTTTAAAACTGACTCCGTTACATAATTCTGGTAGAAGAAATGGTCCTAAATTTAAGCTTTCTCTGTTAGGAAACTTGTTGAAAGACATCCAAAATTACTCACCTAGGTCTAACAGAATACGTCAAAACTCATAAAATTATTGTCGAATGTTATTTTGACTTCCAGCAAATAGTAACATTTTGATCATATTAACTATCTTAAACAGTCTAGTATGAAAAATGTCAGTGAGAGATAAACTATGATTCTTGCATACAGAGGATGTGAATATCTTATTTCAGATGTTGGCAAAAAGTAGCTCCTTTTGAACTAACTAAAATTAGCATGAATAAGGCTGTCAGGGCAGAGAGAGACAAATTAAAGCAGTTTCAAAGCAGCCACCCATAACAGCCCTTCCAGGCAATGCTGCTTTCCACCAGGTTTTATTAGCTTTCTGAAGCTGCTATGGTACTCATGCTTACATCACTCATAAAAATGACTCGGATTAATCAACTGAGTGCTGGGCATGTTGGCGAAATGCTCAAGACCTGCATAGGAAGAGCAGATCTAACACTAAATCATGCTTGTTTACGCTAAGCCACTATTTTAACCTCAGCTTGCCTTTCCTGCCTTGTTCACACTGCAGTTGGCAGCCTCCTCCCAAGCACATGGAAAGCTTTTTTTAAGAACAGATGGGAAAACCCAGCACATGCTTCATGCTGACATCTAGTGGTACCCACAACATGCAATGGAGCACAAAACTCTAATCTAATTACAAATTCAACTGATTTCAGTCGTTGAAATCTTTTATATATGCTGAGTTATTTTAGATTTTATGCAGTAATTAAGTGTAAAGTTTAAAAACACTCCATCATTTCCTATTTCTAAAACAACAATCGAGGCGATTTCCCTCTCGGGTCAGTTAGTGCTTTAACCCTACAGCTCTTCAGTGTCATATAGCCGGACAGTTTTAGAAAGCATTCAGCCATGGACAGTCTGCCAACTGGGCCATGCTATCAGTGGATAGTAAGGGCGCATACACAGGCTGGATTTCTGAGAGGGGAGCTGCAGAGGATGAAGGCGGGTTTCAATGTGCAGTGATCTGTCACCACTAAAAAAGGACAGCTGCAGCAATGACCCTGGCTTTTTTTATTATGGGTTGCATCATTTTATTTCCATGTCTTTTTTAATACTTAAGTGTCAAATGGTGTAGTCTATTATTTGATTTTGATATACTCACAGCAAAAATCTGTGGTCTTTGCTGGAAGTTCACAGTGAGAGTACTTTCAGTCCAAAGTCCTGAAAGAGAAAAGAAATGTGAAATTAGGAAGGATAGTAACCATTAACTTAAAAAAAGAGCATTTTATTCAAAGGTTTGGAATTGTGGTTGACACAAATGGAACTGCCTTCCAACTCTTCATAATGAAGAATGCACATAAAGATTGAGCCCTAAAACACCACAGAAAGGCAAAGAAAACTGCATCAATTTGGAAAATTGGGGCACAAATAAAGAATACTAACAGCTATTTTGTTGCACACTGCTGCTCACCAACGACTGAATAATTTCACTCTTCTCATTATACCATTAAAAGATTCAAAATCACAAACCATCAACTTGGGTAAACAAATAACACCATTACAAGAAATAATAGCTCTTTGTGTCAATCATAAAACAATGTTCGCACAACATTGATGAAAGCGTAGTATACGTCAAATGTCTTCCAATATAGTTTTGGCAAAAAAAACATTTCCCTCATTGGAAACCCTTTCCTATGGGGAAATGTTTGACAAAACAAAGTATGTTTTGATAAAATACCTATTTAACAAGTAATAACCAGTTTCAATCCTCTCTGGCATCAAATGTATTTAAAGAACATGAAACAATATGTCCCGGATGATCTCTTAATGTAAATTGAGTATGCCTTCTTAAAGGATTATGTAATTTCATATTTCAATATGTACCTGTGCTGTTCTTTTCTGAACATATCACTGAAAATGCACGCTGCGCTAAACTGGAGCTTTCTATACATATTTGTGAGGATATTTTGGGGTAGATAGACATGGACTCCTTTCAGCCTAGAAAATGTTTTCAACCCACATCTCCTTTGCACATTCAGCTTTAGCACTTTTATATACAAACTCCATATTGATAAAATATTCATATCCCTGAAACTTTTAACATTACAGGTTATCTACAAAAGATTGCACTCCATGTCCTCTATATGCTTGTTGTGCTCTACTGTTTAAGGCTGATTGGAGGAGCCCTTTTTCTTGACATTTTTTTCTGAATTTGTGGTGCAGAAATCAATTGTTCTTCTGTCAACAGTTTCTTATATTTCCTCTGTGGATTTCTGCAGCTCCTCCAGTGTTACCATAGGCTAGCTTGACCAGCGAGGTGAAGAGCTTGTCAAGCTTGATTTCATAGGCGTAACTAACAGGGTTAGCGACAATAGCCTAGAACCGATCAAATAACTATGGATGTGATGCAAAGCTCCTGGCGACGTGCTGTGTTTTTGTAATTTTGTAGTCCGTGAAACGTGTCAAGCCAAGAATAACAAATACGGCCTTTTTTAAAAAGAAATAGCATTTAAGCTGTCCATTGTTGTGGTTTTAAAGAAAGATCAATTTTAATTAGGACATCAGAAAGGGATCATTAAAACATTACTCCATTGTGATCGCCATCTTATGCGAGCAGAAAAGCAGTAAAAGGCGATGAGAGTGATGCATTGTAGTGTGCCAGGCAAACCATAGGCCTATTTGCTGCTGCTTCTCAGTTTAATCTTTTCCTTATTCTGCCTCTTGGTTTTAGGTACATTTATCTGTTCCGTCATGTTCATTTGATTCTCAAAAGATAGATGGAAATAAGCTCCATAAGATGTCCAAAACTTGAAATATTGCTCTATAATGTGGGTTAAACATCTCCATAACTTTATCTCTGTTCTGTCTGCTGTGCACCTTAAGACATACGCTGTAAGTTTTTTTGCCTTTTTTCAGGCCGATTTTCCAGTCGTGCGAGAGTTATTCGATCGGGCCTACTTGCAGCCGGATTGTGCTTCCTGCATAATTTAGCATACAGGGGGTAACAAGGTGCAATCAGCTACTTACGACCACCTCTGTGAGTGGCTGACCTCACCATCATGAGGTCAAGAGAAAATCAAACGTGTTGGAAATTCAGTCAGCCGTCGAGGGCAAATCGCTCTGTGCGCATGCGCAAGGATTCTTCTTCCTCTCAGACGAAAACACAGAAGCATGGCGGGAAATGCGAGAGAAATTTAGTTCTTTCTGTACAATTGACAGACCGTAGTAGCCATGTCTTTGTTCAAATATGTCTTTGCCTTTTCGTTTTAGGGCTTTCAGCACCCAAAATTGCACAAATTACCAAGGCAGCACGTTTCACTCTAGTGAGCTCCACATTCCTCTTCTACTTGTTTGGCTTCCGGATAGATTAGTGCCATCTCACTGTAGAGCTGAGTCCAACGTGGTTTTTAGACGTACAGTATGAGCAGGTAGATTACATCAGAGCGTCGGGTCACAGTGTGAGAAAATACACCGTGAGCTGTGAACTTTTAAACCCTACGGTTTCGTCGTACAGTGTGAGCTGTAGCTGTGTGCAATGATTGAAAAAATTGTACAGTGTATGCCTGGCTTTAGCTGACATTTCCCTCTCTAAAAAACCTTTAAGGTTAAAATTAAATTACACAAAACTGATCTTTATTTTCTAACTAGATTACTTCTTAAATTGCATTGAATATGAATAAGGATGCAGATTTTAATATGTACAAATCTTTACATTGTTTTTCATCTACTTTAGTTATACATTTTTACACTTACACTATTATTCGCAGATTTCATCTGTTCAGTACCAAATTTGTTTTACATTTGGTGTTTTTTTTAATAATTTCTTTAAATTGGCAGCTATTTTCTTTTTATGGTGAGCATTTCTTATTTTATCTAAGTATTCCTTTTTTTAATTACTGTCCAGGGTTTTCTTTTCTAACAGTTTGTTTGTTTTTTTGGTTTTTTTGCAATAAAAAAACTTTCCATTCTCTATCACATTTTTTGCACACTTGTGTGTATTTTCAACTTTCATTTTATTCTTTACATATCAGAATTTCCACGCCCTGACACAATAAATGATACTTCTATTCTATTCTATTCTATTCTAAGCTGCTGCTTCTCAAATGTGCTAATGACTGCATTAGACTTTTATGATTACTTAAATTATGTTTGCTGTCTCTCATCTTTAGGGACTTTTTGGAGCTCAATGTTCCTACAGTACTATGCTTTATAAAATCAATCAATTTCATGACTCAGTAAACATAATTAAGTCATTGTAATTGTGTCATCAAAATCTTCCATTTGGGAGATATTCAAATTCATTTGTGCACTTCAGGGAAGAAAAAGCATGTCATCCGAAATAAATCCCCAGACATAGTGAGATTTTAGTAATGTATGTATTAGAATTTAGATCAACTAAATCATTTATCTTCTAACTTCAACACAATACAAAAAAAATGTTTTTTATAGCAAGAATTGGTGGCCTTTGATGGGTAAAAACAGGTTAGGGTATTTTTATACAACAAGATGGCTGATCACAAAGCAGTATACTGAAAAAGAAAAACCCATCATGGTACATGGAGACAGGGGCCGTTTCTACGTGCCTTCACAGAGGAATACCTGCAGTCTTTGTAGAAACACAATGAAAATGTCAAAGTGAGCTGTTTGCAGCTTGCTGAGGGGTAACAGTGACAGGAGGGCGAAAAGCAGCTTAACACTGTGCCCTGAAAGAATGCAAGTAACATTTTCTAAGGAAAAAGACCAAAACATTCACAAAAACAGTTAAACCAAACAAAATAAGATAACAACAAAACTACTGCATAAACCACTATGATTTAACAGTACATGTTTGTATTACTCCAAAAGAACAAATAAAATCTGAAATGCTGGTAATTTTAGCAGCTGAGAGGAGTCACAGACTGTGATGGCATCTTCTCAGATAGAATCACATTAAAGGAAATTGCCTCTTGGTGAACATAATTGCATCCTTCCAGACTTATTATTTATGTCCCTTAGGGAGCAAACAATGCTAAAATGAAACAGGACAGAATTTCACAATGACACAGAGTCCCATGAAAAAAATAAAACTGTCAGTGGAATAGAGGCACATGCTCCTTCCCTGTATATTGGCATCTTAATCACAGCAGAATAACCTGACTCGCAACATTTAAGGAAAGTATAATTCATTTTTGCAGTACAATTATATAGTGAAAAAGAAAAACCCCCCTTTAAGAAATGGGGGCACGCTAACCCTAGCATTAAAAAACTAATGTAGTGAAAGAATTTTGCAATGTAGACTTATTTTTTTAAGATAATCAACCAAATTTATATTGGTAATCTATTATTTTCTCTTTACTTAAGATATTTGTTCTTAGTCATTCTTCAAAATAGAGACCAACTGTTACTCTTCAGCTCAGGAAAGTCATGGATCCAAAAATAGCAAAAAAAAACTCAATGGTTGCTCTTGAAAGTTATCGACAATGGGGACATTAATCAAAAACATTTAGAAAACTGGAACAAAAACTAAGCTGGGTGAGGACCCAAGTTTATCTTTCCACAGTGTTTGATAAGAAAGATGGAGAACCGTAGCAATAACTGTCCTCTTTGGAAAAAAAAAATAGAATTAAACTTTATTGTCATTACACTGTCATAAGTACAAAGCAACAAAATTAACTCTCAGTATTTAACCCATCCCTTTGGGGAGCAGTGGGCTGCCATTGTGCAGTGCCCAGGGAGAAGTGTGGGATTTAGGGTCTTGCTCAGGGAGAAAGGGTGGCAGTCTGTAGGAGTGGGACTTGAACTCCAGATTGCCTCTAGATTACCTCTAGATTGCAAGTGCAATGCCCCAGCCACTAGGACACCACTGCCCCACAGTGGGTAACCAAGTCTACAGCGCAGTTTAAAGGTTTACACTAACCATGCATGGTACTAGTGGCCTATTTATATCAAGTCTTAAATCAGGTCTTTTTTTTCTATTGGGTTAAATAGAAATAACTGAAAGGATGTCAAAATTAATAAATAGCTTCAATTATTTTATTGAAATTTCCATAATCCACTCAGATTGTAAAGTATACACATGCAGTAAAATTTTTACAAACATCTCTACCAATATTTGTTTAGATGACCTTATGGTAAAGTAAACAATTGTTGTTGTTTTTTCACCTACAAGCTTCTGGAAGGAAGATGATTGGGCTTTTGCTTACTGAGAACAATCAAGCACTTAAGTTGGTTGGTTCCTCAGA